TAATTTGATACAATAGTTTTTTTCGGGGTACATTAATTACAAAATAATTTTGCGTGATTGTTATATATTGAAGATAATGACACTTAGATTTTTTTATGATTTAACAACAGTTTTTTTCTCGAAGACGTATTATATATTTAAGATGACACTAAGGTCTCATTTTTTTCAATCTGATACAATTTTTTCGAAGTTTACATTATACTGTCACACTTATCACTATATTGAAGAAATTTAACTTTTTTATATAATTTATTATTTAAAATATCTAATATTTAAATTTATTTTTACACGCAGGTTTTTGTTACCAATGTAATGAAAACTTGATAGCAAAAACATAATCATTGTTCTTATATACACGTTACCTGAACTAGTAAAAAGACCAGTTCGCAACCAAGGATATAAAATCTTATAAATCATAGTTTTCTTGCTGATGTGCTTTGGACTGCTTAATATTGTCTGAAATGATAAAAAGAACTAAACTTAATAATTAACTCGGATACAATATAAATAATTAATTTATTCAAATTATCTTAAACATTCGATTATTCCTGTGTGTGAAAGATATTTTATTTGTAAACTTATTCTTGTAAAATAAAAAATGGGTAAGAAATACTTAAATTGTTAGTGTTTCAGATATAAAAAAATTAAACTTTTTAAATATTTTTTTACCTTCAGATCATCTGGATGACGTATAAATACAATCGGAAAATAAATTCCCCAAATTTTATAAATAGGATAGTATTGATCATGTAGATTCATCACAAACTTCAATTGTTCTTCTAAAAGATGTGTGTATGTAACATAAACATAAAGAAATATTATGAACAATTTAATTGTGATATTACGTATTTTCGATTTTTTTAGCTACGTTGAAGTATGACGATTATGCGGCGCGCAGTTTATTTGAACTGATGAAAGATTCATACAGTATAATTACGCCCTGTGTGCTTCGGGCGTAATTACGGGACAAGAGAGAGTTGCTCCCTTAGCAACGAGTTGTTTGGCGGGACTCTGAGATTGATGCGAGTTTGACAGATACGCTTTGGTGCATTTAGAGTTCAATAAACCGTTGTAGTTCTTTTATAAACGAGTGTGTTGTTCTTTTCCGCGCGAGCTCGCGAGTGTCACTGTCTTTGCCGCAGGCGCGAGTGCAATAGTGCCAATAGTGAGCGCGAGCGTAACAATATTATCTAGCACCAAGATCCGTTTTTCTGATGGCGTTTTTCGTTTCTTAATTTCAATTAAATTATTTTGTTCGAAATACTATAATAGTATGTATTTGTGTTTACATGCTATTTAGTTATCTAATTAGGAATATATATTTGGTTAAATTCTAAGTATCAAATTGAGTAAACGATATACTAATGGGGATAATGAATACTGTGTATTTTTAATCAAACGATTGAGTTAAATACAATAAATTTTTGTTGAAACAAAATAGTTTAGTTAGAAAAATAGTATTTTGTTTATAATAGTAACAAATTATTTTGTGTCATCGTAATAACGTTTAGTGGAATGTATATCGGACTAAATATTTTGGTAAGATGAAACATTATCTATATTAATATCGTATAAGTATGTTTCACACATAACGAATAAGGAAGGCCAATGCACGTATGTAAAATCACGTAAAAAAAGAATTGAAGCAGAAAGATAAAACAAATTTTGCGTTTTTCAACAATTTTTTTTTTATTGTACAAACTGAATTATTTTTACAAAGTTCTTCATCTGCTTTCTCTTCATTTATTGACTAAAAATCATTCATTTCTTGAGTAGATTTTGCCAGTTTATTAGTTGTACTTAAATTGAGTTTTTACAATAATATTCGGCATCAAACTTTTATCTTGATCAATTTTGTATTCAAAATAATAATAGTGGGGTTTTTTAGTTAAGAGATTATACTGCATTTTTGTTATGAAAATGTTACTTTCTCACTCACGTATAACAAAAATTAGCACTATTTACACATAAACAGGGCATTTTTGTATGAATTAACCATAAAATCAATAAAATACGTACAAAATAGCAAAGAAGACGTAAATTGCAGTAGCACAGATACAATAATAAAATTAAGGAATAAAAGCAATTGAGTAATACGTAATTTTTACAATACCATTATTCCAATTAGTCAGCATGCAAGTTCATAAGAAATTTTAAATTACCTCGTGAATAACTTAGAAGGTTCAAAAAATTTTCAGTTATCGGATAACCTGGTGGACCTGGTATACGATTGATAAGTCGTCCATTTCGTCGATAATAATTATATACCAATATGATAAAGATAGATAATATCGACGATATAATAATCATTGTTGGTGGATGTAATTAGCCAGTCTAATTAGTTCAGCTTCCTTCAGATTTTTTTAAATTATGATACGAATTACTTATACGTAATATTTGCTTCAGAAGTGTCCGTTGCTATCTAGATATTCTAAATTTATTAGATAAAAAAGGAATACATTAAAATATATGTGACATTTTATTGTTTTATTTTTTCAAATTTTAAAGAGATTTATTCTTTATTTTAATAAGAAAATGTGCATTTATTAACCCGTAAAGGCTACGTCTCATTTGAACAACCGCTGTAAAGAACACCTGAGTACGAATTCACACCAAGCGTTTTTAAAATTTTATATTATCTGAAAATAAAAAGCAAAATTAAAGCAAAACGTGCGTTTTCCAATGTAAATTTTCTGACCAATCGATTATTGGTAATATTCAACACAAAATTCGTTGTCAACACTTTTCACAGTAGGTCCGTTATTTTCTTTAATTATCGAGTATTCTCTTCATATTCGACTGCCCTGGCGGAAAAATTTCTACAAATTTTAAAAAAAATTAAAATATTCTATGAAAAACTACAGAAAAAAACTGAGAAAATCTATGAAATTTTACACGATTTTAAAAAATACTACAAAAATCTACATAAAAATGCTAGAATTGGAACACTTTTGTCAATTTTTGTAGTTTTTTATTGCATTCTCAGACGGACAAATTCTACATAATTCTACATAATTCTACAAAATTCTAAAAAAAATAAAAA